TGTGTGTGTGTGTGTGTGTGTGTGTGTGGTGTGTGTGTGTGTGTGTGTGTGTGTGTGTGTGTGTGTGTGTGTGTGTGTGTGTGTGTGTGTGTGTGTGTGTGTGTGTGTGTGTGTGTGTGTGTGTGTGTGTGTGTGTGTGTGTGTGTGTGTGTGTGTGGTGTGTGTTTGTGTGTGCGTGTGTGTGTATGTGTGTGCGGACCTAACGGATTTTTCAAGACGATCCGAGACTTCACAGCGACACCCCGTTCGTACTGTCCTGCATAGAGACATAAAGGGCCTTGTGGTGTGGCTCGACTGCGAATGATATTTGTACGAACCATAGAGAACTTATGTGCTCTGCCATATGGATTCATCGAGATAATGGCAGATAATAACATGAGAATGAACACGTCATACTGAAATATCGGACAGCAGGGAGTTTGTCATAGGTTTCTTCCATTATTGTAAACGTTACAGAACTATCCTTCTTTAATCTTCTTTTTATACAACAAGCCTGTTTGCTCATCAACAACAATTAATAAGTAAAATTCGTAATCGTTGTATGTTGAATAAGTGTTAGAAGACAAAACGGCCAGTTAGACGTAGAGTGGCCATTAAGATTGAGATGATGATGATGCGGTTTTCCTATTTCATCCCGTACTGCTCTGCCATATCGCTCTGTGTTAATCCATTCTGATTAGAGATTATAGGTATGAATGAGCCTAACGTATTCGTCGTTGGAGTTCCTTAATGCAAGCTAGTTTGGCCTGGCAAACGGGCAATAAAAACATTATTGCAATTGAAATTCTATTTAGAACCGTTTCATGCTATACAAATCAATCTTTCTATACTTAAAACTGTTTGTCAAACATTAAATAACCTAACTTTAATCTAACGAACAGTGTTTAACTGTTCTGTGTTTTTTTCTTCGTCAAAAAAATAATCGCCAATCATAGAGTAAATCGTGAATTATTTAGGTGCGATTTGTCAATTGTTTCATTCACGATTGGTGTTTTTTTGGGTATTTTTTTTTTGTACCATTGGGTACATGAAAACATTCCTTAAAAAGTACTTTTAGATAGAATAATCAGTAAGTTGTTGCTTGGTTTGCGTTCTGTCCACGAACCCGTCTAATATTACTAATAGTCATTAACTTACCAAACCGGGAGAAGCGTACACGTTTTGGTGAGACTGCGGGGGTGATGCCAAGCCGAGGATGGATCGGAAAAAAACGCCGTGCGTTAGCTAGTCAATTGAAATTTTTTTGGTTTTTATTTGTTATTATGGTGTAATTTACTGTCTATGAAGGATCAGTTCTACTTTGTCCAATACGCAGCTCTTTCAGTGTTTTGAATCCTACGGTTTGAACGTTATGTCGGGTAAAAATAGCTCTTTAAAAAAGTTGTCGGTACGAACTAACGTAGACTGATCGAAGATGTTTTAAGTTCAGTGGCGATCTGACCGAAGACCACCAGAGACCTCTCGCAAAATCCTTCTAATTGCCACCTTCACCGATCTTCGTGACTGTACAGTAAGTTTTACCATCACCACCGGTACCGTATCGTTAGAGTTTCACTAAGCTAATTTTCAGTTTCGGCTAATTTTCAACTACAAGAAATTGAAAATTGAGCTTATCAAGTGTTACGCCGTAAGACCTATGAGCATAACAACAAAATCTTTTCCACACAAACATCTCTTGAATTTCCGTCTATTGTATTTTTCGATACAAACTGAGTGGTGGTCACTCAGCATAGAACGGTCAAAGGACGCGTATCCATAACATGTGCAGTCTAAAATAAATTATGTACCAAAGAAGCTTTCATTTACAACAGAACAATCCATTAGAAATGTCACTTAATTACGAATTAATTTACATTTAGGCGTTTGTTTTTGTCGAAAACTTCAACTATACCAGAGAGACTCTTCAACGCCAGCGCTTTGTCTCCATACTGTAGTCACTGTATCACATACAGACCGATAAAAAGGGAAAATTGATTTAAAGGTTCGTCGGTTAGACAGTTCAGTGCACTGTTACCGTTGGCGTGAGCGGCGACTGTGACTGACTTCTTTCGACCTTCATGACGAAGTAATACGCGATCCTCGTCTTCGGAGGTGGATACCTGTGTTGAGAGCTTATTAGTAACAGCAGTGACAAGTGCGACATTGATATACTTATGTGGAACGTTCCCATGCGATGTCGGAAGCTCCCGTAGGGTTCAGGTACCTACCTAAGAGATTCAGCTAAAATACTGCAATTAATCATTTAAAACGCCTTTTCCTTGAACACCATTAATATATACTACTTATGTTATTTCAGGCCGCTGCTGTGAGAAATATCGGAAGTCAAGGATGCCATTATTGAGAATTGCTATGTAAGGTTACTCTAGTTTTCGTCTGCGAACGTCTACTTCCAGCTGACACGGAAATGACAGGGACTCACACGAAATTCCACAGCGTCTCCATAACACGCTTATAAAATGCTAGAGAGATAAGATAACGTCTCCATGCGCAGCACAAGCACACTCGTACGAAGGCACAAGACAAACAGTAGCAGAATCGCTTACCTCCTGTCCATTTTCATCGGGTACCGACATCGAGATCTGATCTTCCGCGGCCAGGGAAAGTGCTTTCTCCCCGAGGGATCGTGGAACGTGCAAAGGAAGCTTTTCTTCCAAAGCCGTTGCCGGTCCGTAGAGGTGTGCGTAATGATCACTGCCGTCATTATTTGGACGTTACCATGAATATATAATAATAAAAATCGAAAACCAAAGTAACATTTAGAAGGTATTCTATGAAAGGGTTTGTCAAGGATAGCGATGACAATGGTGCCAATTAGATTTGAAGCTGTTCACTTGTTTAGGTTTTCATTCAAAGTTGTAGCGGGTGTATGTATTCCAAACGGATTTTTCGCTTTTTATATATGGATGTCCGGCGTATCGGCTTTATTGAAGGATTTGCAATACAATTAAACCGCGCGTACAAGCAAATTAGTATTTATAAGGAACAGCAGAGAATGCCGTTCAATCATAGACTTGGATTAAAGGACTGACGTAATCAATTTTTGTTATGAAAACCATTGCTTCAAAGCCCAATGCATACATTACAAGGCAGACATACCGCAGTTTTTGAGATCTCTTTATAAAGGTCGAAGAAGACTAACTGAAAGGTTTGTCCAGAAGAAAGCCTGTTAATGCAGTAGCTAAGGGCAACTTCTATTTTTTGCCGATTTTAATGGGTAGGCCCAACGTATGATATTTTCTGGTACCTGTGTTGCACAAAAACCTGTGTGTTCGGTCCTATAAAATTCAGTTTACCCAGGATCGCAACAGATTTACAGGCCATGCAAAGTGTCCTACGTTTCCTGTACAAGCCGAATAGTAGCTACGGTGATATCCTAATTTTCTAGTTGGAATGATTTAATCAGTTATTTGAATAACTAAATCACAAAATTGATGAGTGAAGCAAAATTGCCCCATATAAACATACCGGAAGCGTACCTTATTTCAAATATATAGAACTTCTTATGGACTTATGGACGCGGACTCTGGCTAGAGAGTGCTGCCCGACCGTGTTTTTTTGTTACTTAACTTTTTATAGTTCTGGATGTTATAGCGCCTTGAATTCGATGAGTTTGACTCGGACAATATGTAGCTCTGATGAGAAAGACTAGAGCTAATTCAACTTTTGATTGAAATACAAAGGCTAATGGCACGCGATACGCTCGTAGATGGGTCTAAGGGAATCAAATTATTACATAGAGTACCAAAAAGCCATTAGAAGGTAGATTGTTCAAAATAATGGGTCTTTAACCTCATATCTGTGTGCCGACCCGGACATAAATTCGCACTGTTTTGGACCTACAGGCACTTAACAAAGGTATTCAAAAACCCAGATATTCGTAAGCAAACGTATTCTTCACGCCAGGGATGCGTTCTATAGAATGGCGTTAAGTACAGCCGTGCCTACACAAGCCGCACAAAGAGTGCGATATCAATATTCTAAATTATCCCAAGTAATAAACGTTCTACAATTGGAAACTAAAAAAAAAAGTGCACTAGACGAAAATTTTAGTAGATACGCCCAATTTGTAATAAAGAGTTAGTGTGAATTTTGTGTTTTTTCTCGTTAGTAAGGAAAAAAAACCGCTGCCGGAGTAACATATTACTTTAAACACAACGGCAAACACTGCCGTTTGCGTATGAGCTTGGTATTATGCGTGTTCGACAAACTGATGTCTGAAATAGATACTTGGGGAATGAGTGAATTATATATACCGGGGTCTTTTAACAGCTTAGAAATGTTCTTTTGAGATTTGCTAAGGCAGCCACAGAGTAGAATGCGGTAACAAAGAAAGCGTAAAAAATATTAAGGTTCTTAAACTATCGAAACATTTGCGTTACTCTGTATATTTTTATGAACGAGTACTACAATGAAATCAATGGACTGGGTGAACTTTAAACAAGGGTCTGGAAACCCTCTGATGCTAAATGTGCACCAGATCCATTGATAAGACCGTAACTGCAATAGTCTAAATAAAAAATAATCGACAATAACAATATTAGAAAAATGGTGGTGGCCGAACGATCGAAACGAGCATTTGGTCAGGATTTCAAGTAACCATTCGAACAAAGTACCGCACATTGCTTGAATAAAGACAGTCTGAGAAAAATAGAAAATGTTTGTTTTGCCTAGAAAAAAAATCCGTCCTTTACATTTAAGCTAAAAGGCTACGCCCTAGTTTGAGATCAGTGATCCTGATATGAGGCAATGGTGAATGGAAAAATGCTTGGTTTGTTTGAATTGGAATTTATATTATATATTAATATTATATATTAAAAACGTTGAGACAACAAAAGGTTTTTAAGCTTGGCGTTGGTCATATCCATTGTGGTCCCCATCTATCTTTCAAAAATCTAACAAAATTAAGAGCAAATCCTCCATAATAGTACAGGATGCGACAGGCAACAATAGCTATTACACGCGACGTTTCTTCGGTTGCCAAACAAAGTGGACGCTTGCTCACACACTGGACCCTGGGCATACGGAGAAGCAACCGATTGCTAACTCAAGAGAGCGTCGCGACGGCATTGCTTTTCAAAATCGCCAGAGGCTACTTTCCTGATTCGAAGTTCCAGCCGAAGGGAAAACTTCGTTTTACAATAAGATAAGCGACCCAAACGTGCAAAGAAGTTTACCTTTCACAGCGGAGAACTAGATAGAAAGGGTACTAGATTAAACGGCGCTTGCCTGGTGACACGTGACTGCGACGCCCTAATCATAGATGTACGTTATACACGTACACGATTATATTGTCGAAGTTATCAGAGGCACTATATTATAATTAGCTCCAATAATCTGGACGCATAAAGGGCGGACAGAATAAACGCCGAGTCCTTTTAACAACACAGCCATTTAGCGATCGGCCACAAATAAAGATCTCGCCATATTAAATTGATTTGATATACTTTAGGACTGTGCTTAGAAAGAAACAACTATGATCTATATAATGTGCCGCCAATTTTAAAGATACTCGAGTGATTAATGCAAATGACCTTGTACACGATACATAATTTTATCTTGTACACGATACATAATTTTATCTTAAGATATGTCTTCGATTTTTAAGCAACATTTAAATCGAAATTCAATGTTTCAAATTTTGGGCTTAATTTTTGAAAAAAAATACGCCAAAGAGCATGCAGCGCTGATACTTATTTTGGTGCTCCCAATTAAAGCCTATGAAAAAGGTAACCTGGCAGATACTACTTCGATAAATATGCGATTATAAAAGGAATACTTCTCTCAGTAGGGAAAATGAGGGCATGTACGTATATAGAGGGGGGCACTTCTTCCATTCTTTCCCTAAATGTATTTCACGTTTTAGCTAATTACCAATTATAATAAAATGAAAAATTAATTAAAATTCGTAAAAAGTCTCTATTGTAGCCCAAGACTTAAGAGTTAAACTTAGAAGCTTTATTTGATACCATCCAAACTTCAACGCGGCTAGCCGAAAGAAATATTTAGCCGCAGGATGCAGAAGCATGGTATTTATCTAAGTTAATTGTGTGTCTTGGCAGAATTTGTGATGAGGTTTATTTTTAAGTGAGTTATCTGTTGATATCACTACAAGTATTCGAACTTAGCTTAAGGATACCGAATAAGTATAGACATTTTTGAAGATATAGGGTCGACGAGGACTAGTAATAGGCATTCTCATTCACAGAAATTCAGAAGAGTCATCGAGGTATTGTATGCAAGACGTCAATATTTTCTGAATAGTAGTTTCAGTAACAATGGATAACCTAAGCAAAACATTGACTACTTCTCAAGTTCTAACAAAACATTCGATTGTATCAACGAAGTGTTACGTAGTTATCCTTCACCACTCCGGCCATAATGGAGAGATAAAGTTTTTTATGAGTCAATTTAGTTAGCACTTTACATTTTTACTTCTAACATAATTCCCAAGCGTGTTGATATTTCTCCCGTAATAAATATCTCTGGAGATAATATCCGCTATCTTATTCATTGATTTAGATTTAGCCAACGGAGTGAACGCCGGCGCGTTTTGGGCTTGTTAGGAAAGATGTATATAGCATCCGCTCTAGGAGTTCCCTAGGAATACTAGGAGTACTCCCTAACGAATGCATTATAATAGCAGAAAAGTCTAAAAGAATATAGTAGAAACGGATCTATTAACGACTGATAGCAGTGCGATAAGAGGCACCAGAAATTATTTAAGTGGTACGTTTAGTTTGGTTGTTATTCGTTCTCAAAAGTATAATTATCGCTAGATCTATTGAAAGCCAATTTTGTTAACGGCAGAAATTTGTATCGCAGTGTTTCTTCTTACTAACTTGAATTCTATTCAACTTTAGAAGTTGAATACTCACGCCAGAACGACCTTGGTGTATATCCGAGTTAGGCTGTTGTGACCGTTATCTCGAACCAGCAACGGCCGGAGGTACTTCTCGTCCAAGCTGCTCAGGACTCCCTTCCAATAGTTACCTATTATAGAGTCAGTTACGCATCAGTGATGATATTCATAACGGTAGTAGAACAATTACTACAGATAATTTTACCTAAGAATAGTTTATCATAAAATTAGGCGAATATACAGCCATTCTATAGGGCGCCAATGGATTGATGCCATCATTCGTTCTAATCCAACACTTGCCCTTGACCGGCACCTCATTAACACATCGGTTCGTTTCATTCAATTAGTGTTTTAAAAAAGTCATACATAAGTCAAGCCATATATATACAAATTAAGAACGTACGTGCCACTCAGACGCTGCAATCTGTTCTGGCATACGTGCCGTGCATTACGTACCTCCTCTGTTCCCGGTAACCTCTTCAATGCCGAGCATAATATTGTCCACCAGCTTTTTGTTGATTTCGGTAAACAGCGAATCGCCGAGACTCTGATGGCGTCGAATCTTCAACAGGTTCACTAGCGGTTTCACAGAGGCGCCCTGTGGGACCAAAGGGCAGCCCAAGCACATATGCCGCGCTATGGCCTTTACAGTTCTTTGAAGACATGTATTTACTTGTCCATTGACACACAACAGATGGGATTAAAGTCGAGATAGAGCCAAATCGTAGAAATTAACTAACGGCACGCTTCGCATAAACTTAACAGAGTTTAACCTTCTGTATCATATACATTTCCCGAGTTAATTTATGCCATTAACCGAAGGACTAGTGATAAACTTTTTACTTTAGATCTCAGATATTGCGGTTTCGTTCCCGCCACTTGGCCGTGACCAGTTTATCAAAGAGATCCTCATGAAAAGGTTATTGTACCATTTGCGGTGTTATAGTCGCCGGTATATGAGTCAACCTAGCATCTTATTGTTGTTGGCAAAGGTCACGTCGACCGTGGAGAATTTCTATGAAAAGCAGCCGCAGAGCTAAGGCACGATTTTCGCACAATGCCCACGGTGCTCGAAACTCGTGTAAGATGCCCTCTAAACAAATTCTACCACCTTTCAGCCAACCAAGCTTCCGCGCACGATCATCGAGGTCCACCATCTTATGTAATAGGTAACGGCTATTTTTCGTCAACGGAAGCGCTTAAACGTACACGTAACACGTGCTCAATCGTTATGGATGCTTAGCTGCATCAGATCGAAATCTCCGTCACTTTCCTGTTGAAAGTCGAGCAGTGTGTTCAGATTTTGACCATGATTGGCTGAGACACTGTTTGTTGTTGGCTGTTGTTACTTGTGTTTGCCTATATATTTATCTTTACAGCTTAAACCAAGCAAACGTAAGGTTATGTGGCCATTTCGGCGGCGACCTGAAGAATTGTTGGGACGTGCGTAAAAAGCACTGTGATGAAAACAACAGGCCTGAGGAAAATAAGATTATTACTGATTCTAGAGACTATCTTTTCATAACTGCAGGTATTGCTTTCCTGTTGACTTCTGCCAGTTTCAGCAATGAATCACCTGATGGGGCATGCTATCTTACACGTATTCGCTGTGCTTCAAATATGACGCTTTTTTACTCGGTTCTCGTGCGACTAAATAGCTTAATTTGCCTTCCACCTATGGATAATAACAACAACAATAGGGCAATAATGAATAATAACAAGATGTTAACATTACGATTGATGTATGAAATATGCACGAACGTTTGTAACTTACACCCTCAACTAGGCCTATCTAAGGCCGCGTAACAGACAAATTGTTTGCACTAGGCAGTCTCTTCAAGCAGAGATCTTTGAGGTTCTGTTGACTGTCGTGATAAAGGCATTGCTGTAATTACATAACAAACCTGAATAAAAACAGTAAAGATGATTATGAACAGGGTTGTGGTGACGAAAATATCGTAGTGCGGAAATTTGCAGGGTGAGAGCATGATAACGAGGGAGAATGAAACAGCACCTCGGAGGCCACCATACGCCATAATGAATTGTTCTTCAAGGTTAATTTTTAGCACTCGTCCGGCTGTGTTCACGCAATACGTTAAGCCAAACACGCCTGTACGGACAGAAAGAGAGACAGCGAGAAATCGAAAACGAAGTCAAAGTAATTCTTAAAGAACCTTAATTCTAATTTAATTGCACCGAAGCGCTTCAGATAGTCACGAATGTAAAAAAAGATCAGTGGAACCTAGTCATTATTGCGGCAAAGACCCGTTCTGACGGGCGAGAAAAAGCTAACGTTTGTTCACCGATACTGCCGCAGCCGATATTTGTCACAGATTTTGCATTTATTTACCCTATTGTGACCCGAATATACGTGAGGCACCTATATCCGGTAGTACATTAAAAAATAGTTATGCAACAAAAGAAAGTGTCGTATCTTTTTTTTTTTTTCTTTTTTCTATCGTTTGTCTCAAGCCACCAGCTTAACGATTTCCTTAGTGCTAAACTATATAGAACCCAGTACGCCATGTTCGTAGACCAGTTGTACGTTTAGTTGGTCCAACAAATTTTAACACCGCAGTTGTTCCTGAGGCTTATTTCGCAATTTATATTTTCAGACAGAAATCTTTGAATAGAATTGAGTCTTTTTTGCAGGGTACTCTAATGGTAGGGGCGCGCGAAAGGAACGCAAAGTCAATGATGAAGTTATCAAGGAGCTCGCATAGATGCTAAGCTGAGTCAGCTTCGAGGGTCAATATTGTCTTTGACAAATGCACCAAATTGTCACGTTGGCTAGTGACAACAAAAATCATACTAGGTATGCAAAAAACACGCTAGGCAACTTAATATAAAGTCTCTTTTTTCATCAAACATGCCCGCGTCGTTTGGCATGACTTCAAGATGGCTCCTTCTCTGTGGACTTACATTATGCAAAATGGCGCCCTTCTTTTTTTAGCGTATTAAGCCATCGAAACTACTTAGGTGACTTAATATATTAGCGTTGTATTATTTAGATATACACACTTTTGATTTGTGACTAATTGGGTCGGATATATCCTTTCGGCTAGCAAATCTGTGACGGTGGGTAGCCACCCCAGCACTCGGAAAGGGGTGTAATAGTAATAACGGGTAATAAATGAAACAAGCCTGTATATCAGAAAGCGTACACAGAGCAGTTTTCTTTGTTAATGTGTGCTAGATTCTGCTTGGTGGTTTGGCCCCATCTGGAATACCCACTAAGTTGTTCAATCAATAATAGCTCGGTGTCACCTCAGTCAGATATCAAAACAATAATATACAATATTAGCGTCTTATTAGATGTCATTGTCAGTCTTGGTAACAACGTAAGAGCTAGGGTCCTGTGACGACAAGGCCGAGGGTGGCAGAGTTGTGAACTGAATGATTCTTGGATTCTGGATAGAGGCCATTGTTTACTTTCGGTCACAATTAGACTGACTCATGAATCGGAAGACGAGGCAAAGAATTGTTGTCCAGACGATGAATTCGATCCGAAATTCAGGTTTTTTGTTGACGAGGACCATCCCGAGAAAGATAAAAATGATTGTGTCGCACACAGCGCTGAAAGCAGAGAACAGAAAACACAGAATCGGGAAACACTTTATTATCATAAAAATACGTTCAGATCATCGTCGCTTCACCGTGTGGCAACTCTTCAAATGGCCGGTTGTGTATCTTACGCGCCCTGTATAGGGATAGAGGCAAACGTCAGCCTACGCTGGCTAAGATATAGTCCCGTTAAGAAAATATAAGTTATCGATTACAAGAAAACATGGACTGACACCTCCGTAGTCGAACTATTGTTGCTTTTAATATCTGACTGAGAGTGTGACTATTTCGTATCACTCAAAGCATACCGTAGTAGTTAATAAACCCAATGAATGCGGTGTACATTGTGTTACGTAAATTATTATAAACTTATCGATACAGCTTTAGAATTGGGTTTTGCGTTCGAATTCTCCTGGAGATTATCAACTAACCGTATTGAAATGTAACCATTGCTAGAAGGCGGTACCGGTTTTCCGGGGAAACTTGCTATCGCAATAGATCGTGCTGCCTTTCATATGCTGCCTGTTCATCAACTATAACTCTAAACTTAAAGTTTTTTAATGCTCTGTGTCACGAACGTAATTAGCGACCCAGGTATGTCAGCGCTTACCATGTGAGCCACACTTACTTCGTATCTTGAAAAAGGTCCACTTCTTCAATACGTGTTTTGCTAGACCACCGAGCTTTTTTGCTTCGTAAGAAATTGCGCAACAGTCTAAATTCATACTGTACTATATCTGTATGCAATTCTGGAACAGAGATGGTAGTACGTTGAACTCAAGCCTAAGTTTTGTATTTCAAATCTGTTATACAATTTGTGGCCGGTGATCTGTCTCTATGAAGTGAGTGGGTTATGCTGTGACTATCGCTGTCTGAGCAATAGTTTAGCAACCAAAACCGTATTTGACCCATGTACGGATGGCCTTCGAGTAAGACAACAACTAAAGACCTTTTTATCAAATATAGCTGTTCGCTTGGAATTCACCCTGAAGCTACGACCCGTGGCGTACGTTATGGAACGGCCCCAACATAAAGCTCCAAGTGGGTATTGATGATGCAATATTATATATAATAGCCCCGGCTACCTGGCGTGCGTTGTTTCTATAAACGTGCGTTGATGTATAAGATCATTGAAGAACAGGCGATCGGGAGTAGGTTTTAGGTGGCAGAATTTCTCTCTAAAAGTACATGTAATGTAGTTCATGACAGTCTGAATCCCGAAACACAAACAACCATCTACCATCTCTCTCAAGAAATCATACTGACGGAACGGCCAGACAGTAACGAAATAAAACAATTATTATCTACACACTTATAACTGTTCTAGCAAAATATTCCACTAGTCATGTTCTGCCTGTCTGAAAAGAATGCTCATCTAGCCATCAATCCGCGAGGTTCGTTTCAGATAAATTATATGGATGGTCGAATTATCGTTGTCCTGTTCGTAGGCCTATAAGCGGCCACGACGATGTGTACCAACTTCATGGACCGTTAGGACTGTAAGTGAATATGAACGAAAAAGACTAATTACGTTGACGATAGCGTCTCCTTCGGAATCCAACTAATGGAAACACAGCATTTCTTCATGACTGTCGTCTTTCCCTGTGCGGCTCCGTGTTGAAACGTACGGAACGGGACGTTAGTCGATACCGGAACGCAGTAGTCGAACGTAGGCGTTCGCTGTGCAAAAGATGTCTAAAAGCCGCCACGATACGGTTTCCCGTTTGAAAAGAAGTCAGGTACAACAGTCCAGGTAAATAAGGTACAGTAAAGACGCAGCACAAATTTTGGATATATATCGCATCTGCACTAACTACGGATTACATTGACTACAATAGCTGATAGTTCGAGCTTACAAGTCGTTTAGTAAACTCTAGGTAGCCCTGAATTATAAAGAAGAATGTATATAGAAGATGATACGAACGGGCCAGTTTGTGCGAGTGGTAAGCGTGTAGCAGAACAGTTGTTACGTTCAAAGGGAATGTTCTTCGGTAACTCGGAAAGCAACGTTGACTAGGTACTCTTTTCCTAGGCAGATGGTTTCCTAACAAGTACGACGCAAGGCTGCGCACACTCATAAAAAGACAAGTAATAATAGCGCGACGATAATTAGCTGTAGTGATTTGAAAAATCAATATTTCAGTAGACAAAAGGAAGTTCTAAAGCAGCGCTAGTTACGTCACCTGATATGGCACGCCGGTAAAGTTGCGGACAGCATTTCAAGTTACGTATTCCACTGGGATGGCACTGATGAATGTCGAACGATGTAAATAATAGTAGGCTGATCTAACATCTCTTTAGATGTTTAGATGTGAAAACGCTAGGGATAACTGTTGGGTGTTTATCTAAGTCCTGCTCAGCGATCAGCTAGTTTGAGCAAGACTGCTTAATGGGTTCAGTTCTGCACTTCAATGGGAGAAAATGGGACGCAAACGCCCGACAGATGTAAGCCTTTAAAAGAGTAGTAAGATGGACCCAATTGGTGCCCGTAACTTTGTAGCCGTTTCTTCTTGTAGTTATTGATTTCGTTGTAACCCTTTACAAAATCCCTTTGTCCAACTGGATCTCATCCCTACCCTCGGTGCAGCAGACTATGTAGCACGATATCGAAGAAAAAGCTGTGGCTTTTTTTATCGTTCCAAGACTTGCTTTAGCTGTTGTACGCGAGTTTCTAGAGCTTGTTACTGCATGTAGGACGCCCGCAAAAGCCGAGTTCAGCTTCTAGTGATCTTTCCCATTTCAAGTAAAAAATAACCCACTGCTGCCCTTATTCGAGAAGGTTGGTACTAAGTAGTTCGGCAAGAGTACTTCCAATTCTGCATGCTCAGTAAAGATAGCAACCTAAATGTTGAACGGCGTAGGAAGTTCAACCGTTTGAACACTGGAAGCCCTAGGACGTTTAGGAGACATGGAAAGTGGCTCGGCACGAGTTTAAAGTTAGTTGAACTAAAGGAATTTGTCGGATATAGCTCGAAAACTTATAGACGGTAAAGCTGTTGTCATTGTCATTCGATCGTTATCGCATTTGAAACCGGAGACTCTATTAAGACTGTAGCTGACTGCAAGACTATTACTACGCAATGGCTACGTCGGGCAGGAAGCTCGCAACGCGTACGTGACGTAACGTAGGCAGCCGAAATCGATAGTCCCCGGTCCTTTAACTGAGAAGCAATCCTCCGTCGGAGCCCGCTCGATGCCTCGCACACTTCGGAAGAGAACTTTAGATAACTAGTAGCATTGACGTAGTTCATGAACTGTTACGGAACATTAAAAAAGCCATCGCTCCTGGCCCATCTGCGCTTGTAGTGAGCGGACTTACAATTTAAGCTGTCGCTAGTCGACAGAACTACAAGTGACCGAAGTGCTCGTGTAGACTAACTCTGCAGACTTATTTTACCATCTCTTTACAAGCATAGCACCCACCGACTGCCCTGTCTGTCCTTCCCTCTCACCACTTTCCGCTTTGCAAATGCATTGTGGGGTTCGTTTGTCCTGGTCTGACTGGATCTGTTGAATCAAAGCCAGCTAGCGAACTCCAGCCACCCCGTGACGTATCGGGTCAAAATGGGATCACAGCAGGGTCATACCGAAGACACGCAATACAGCGACAGTAACATAAGAGTAACGTTACCCGCTTTTGGCGAAAGCGTAACGAATAAAAGCCTGTCGCGAGAAGTCACGTTGTTGGATGGAAATAGAAGACTGTCGAAGTACAGGAGTGTATTCAGAAGAGGGCGTTGAGGAGCCTTCTCTCAGTTTTCCTATGGAGTACTATGTTATTTCCTCAGACTGCTGTTTTGCAGAGTTCTCGTTAAACGAGATGAAGGTTTTTGAGATTTGCGCAGAGATTAAACACGATAGAGAAGTAACACGTTTACTTTAACATTAGCGAATTGTTCCTTGCTTATATGATTTTTATGAGTTCGACTCATAGGTATTTCAATTAAAAGAGAAAAATAAAACTGTGAAAATCAGTAAGTTCGATTTTACCGACGCTGTTCCTAGTATCATTTGTTTATTAGGCAGGTTACGGCTTGAGTTAATTGTGGACGAGAAATTGTGACTTTGGTAATGTTCTGGTGAGAAGAATTAGCCCGACTGTTTATAAAGGAATAAAGGGAAATGTGAAAGATCACAGAAGGGAGGTCATGTTGATAAATGAAACAGCAGCAACAGGCATCATAGGTGCCATCAAAACTGCATGTATATCAACAAAGGGCATGTGTCCTTAGAGCCTAATGCACTTGATTATAATGAATCGTATGTTAAAGAAGTGCAAAAATCAATTATTTACTTTTTAATAAAAACTGTAAAGGGCCAACGGATCGTACAAGTATCTCGGAGAAAAGACATTTATCCGTATGTGGATATTAAATATAGCTTATACGATGGAGACAGGTAGGAAAAAAGCGATTGAATTTCTCGCAGTTTATAGGACGTCGGTAATGTAATTTGGCCTCAGATTGCATTGCTATATGACGCTCCGATCACAGCGGACGAGCGTAACTGATCAGACAGACCACATACACAGAGCTCATGTTCTCTGAGTAGGCCATATGAGCTAGAAATATCCTGCTCACGGCGGTTGTTTTTCTCTTGTTACAGTCTCAGCTCATTATTGTTTACAAAAACGATTTTTTTCGGCGAACGCCCCGCTGAATTATCGTTCCGGAATAAATAACTATTCGATCTTGAAGAATGCTAGCTTTCATATTATATTATGACTTCAGATGTTCCGTTTGTCCGAAAAGAGGTAAAGGCGACACTTGCAAATGATATATTGCCGGCTAATATACGAAGACGTTATACAGATAACGGATTGACGAATCCTGACAAATCGCTAAGTTTTGGTTGGCCCCCCCAGTTTAGTGACCATAAGGAGGTTCCAATTCGGGTAGTCGCTGATTACGATCACGTGAAACCTGAAATTAGCATATCGGCGCATCAATCAGCATCTACGCATTTCCGGCCCGAAGAAATTAGATGGAAACTCTTAGACTGAATACGAAGGCTTTGTTTTAAATGCTCCGATAAATTGCGACAGGGATTGTTGGGCCTTCTTTAGTACGGGACTTGTCTGAATTTTAAATACTATAACCGGTCTAAAAGTGTCTCAATCTGTGCAATGTGAGCCTACGAAGGTTCATTTGATTAGATCTATAATACTTTATAATCATACGATAAGTATGACCTGCGTTAGCTGATACGCGAGCAACCGAATTTGTCAGCGGTTTCTACTTCATGCTGATGCTTCACTCGTGACATCATCATTTCCAATTATCACTTGTCAATCTTCACCTGATCGTACTGCTGTGTTGCAAATCTGTCTACTTTTCTTTATTGTATTTGAATAACGGGCTTCTTATTTCGATCGGCATCGGCTAAATTCGTGGTTTAGAGCGTAATGGACTTTCTTTACTGTTATCTTCATGTATATAGTTATTACTATAAAAGTAATCGGTATACGCGCAAAAATTTAGTGTACGCAGTCTTCAACCGCTTGATACCCTTGAGACAAGGACGGAGCTGGTATGTGTATGTTATGTCGACCACCTATATAATTGCTTTCATTATCAAGAAAGACGGTCTTGCTCGCGTAGGCCTTAGTTCCAGACGGCCATGCTGACCTACCAAGGTATCTAGAAAGATTTTTCTATTCAATTGTTCGACGTCATTGTGTTAGGTGATATGTAGGTGAAGGAAGTCTGAAAATGTACAACCCTCTAGGAAAAGGACATAATATAAATATAGTAATCAACAAAAGAGTCCAACGAGTTTTCCTGCATATACATTCCACGTATAATAAAGACACTCAGTGCTCAATATTATGTATATATATAACGAATGTAAGCTTTTACAGCCGTATAATTACAGGGAAGCGAACAGATGATACACGTAACGTCTACCACGGTACTACTACGTTACTAACGTCTACTACGGTATCGGCCGTATGCGTGAGTAACCCCCGTCGATACTGACCGTTGATGTTTATAGTGGTACCATTTGCCGCCCATTGAAAGCGGTAAATCAAGTGGAAAATCCCTAAAATGCGATATTTCTAGCACGGCAGTGAACTCACTCTAGGTCCAGTTTAGCCGTTAGCGTTCAACGGGTTTCAGAGCACAAGATCGTGTTCTCTCTAGTATATGGCAACGAAGGATCAGGAAAGTTTTAATATAATATTTACGCATCGCTTTACGACTATACTGTAGCAGCGATCTGGAGGACGAAACCTCTCTACCAGCCAAAATTTACTTTGCCAGCATATAAGCCTGTACTGCAGTGGGCCGTAGCTGTAGGCGAATGTCTGTGTAGGAAAAAGAATGCTGACAGCTAGGATGAGACGGCCAGGCATCATCGGCACGCGAAGGTATGAGTGTTCGTGCGACAGAGTAAACTTCGCTTGGGTCTTCCTGCGGTTCACACCTGTTACCTTATGGCAGGATAAAGCGTCCATCCTCTATGAAACGAATCCATTCTATTCGGCCAGCTGTAACACTATGAATTGTACCAGGCAAAATCGTTAACATACGCAAGTAATAATGACGATGTCCATATTTTGAACTATGGCGCCACAGTGGTGAAGCCATCGTTACGGCTATACAGTACCGTCCCAATCATCTTGGCCGCTTCTGTTGGATTCTACGTTAATACCGTAAAGATTTGCGTTTTCCTATATATATATATATATGTGCTTGTAATGTAATAAATGCTATTTGTCTCGATCGATCATTCCTCAAAGCGACGTATGATATACAGCCCACTCCACAGCCGAAAACTTATATTGACAGTGTGGTATTCAAAGTTCACGCGAAGATCTTCCTTGCTGTCACATATTTGACGTGCTAATTCAGAGCAGGTAAAAATGCCTCAAAACAAGTATATGCTAGAAGTGACGACAATGATTATTTGGTAAATAAGTTAAAGCAAGAACATGTCTAGTTCTAACCTTAGGGCAAACCGATTTTAAGTCACAGACTTACGCGTGAGCCCAGTGAGCAACATCTCCTAAGACATAGAGGTATACGCATCTAGGCTAGGTGAGCAATTGAACCGTAATAAATACATATTTCGGGTTTCCATCTGGTCCTGCCGCCTAGTATCGCATCAGGCGATCGGTCCCCGTCACGAAACGAAGTCTACCGACTAAAGGTTTTGAACCTGGACCACTTCAAATAAATGTAAGTTTAGTATTCAAATACGTCACTGCTGCTCCATCATGGAGACCAGTTTAGGGTTAATGATGGATTTAAGCAAGGAGTCACACTAACCTCATCATCTTCGTGAAGTATTTCACAGTGGTATAACTTTTCTGAGAAATATTGTTCATCGCATATTGAACCTGGAAAACGAGCACAAACACAACATCACAGAAACAAGCTTAAAGATGAATTGTTTTAATAATTACGCATGCATAGCTACTAGTTTTACTAAGTTAACTTAACTCATCAATGTCATTGAAACCTAGAACAAAACTAAAGTTTAAGTGCTGGACGAAAAACTCAAAAGTATTTATTCCTACAAACTAGTAGAGGCAGTTAGATAATAACGTGAATCCGAATGGAACATGTATAACACAAAGACACACTTATCCACATACAAAACAGATATATTTTATATATGTAAGTTTAGCTTATTCTGTACGGTCTCATTTACATATTTGTAACGTAACGAATAGCTTTTTTTACGTACAACAACTGCGAGTAAGTCCCGGTATACCCCTTTGGGGTACTGGGGGCATGGGAAATGGTACAGTTTAAAGCTCCGCAACTTCGTTGCAACTCAATTGCACAATGCAACGAGAAACTTTTTCCCGTAAGTATCGCATGAGTCACTGCGATTCGAGCGGAATACTCATTCGTCAAGTCTTATTCGAATAGCGATGATGTGGTGCTGGACCTTCGTCCTTTAGAACTATTTCTCTGCTGATGTATGGTCGTGCAACGTGACAGGAACGTTACACAGATGGCAGATAGTCAGCAAAGGACCTTAGGAAAGAACCTATTTTCTTATGTAGATTACTATTTGCGCTGCAACGGATCGCTAACATACTGTCTTGTTTATGCATTCGAGAAGAATCGCAGAAAAAAGTGTCTACTATTCACGTATCTTCCGAATTAGCTTTGTAAATATGTTCCGTTTCATCATGCATTCGCGAAGATCGACGCAAACCTCACAAGCTTAGGCGCGCTAGACCAAAATGTTATTATGCATACATACCTGAATCAGGCCGCAACAAATAATCGCGATGATCCCAGAGAAGTGTACCAGCTCGGCTGTCAAATAGGCCATATAGGCGAGGCCAATAACAGCTAGAGGTTCGACCACGCGCACCTCATTCGTGTAAAGAGTGACCAAGGCCGTCACAAAGCCAAATATGCCTCCGATAGCAACTGCCCCCATCGACACAGACAAGAATGCGGCTATTCCGGTCAAAATCTGAAAAGGAACAAAGATAAATCAAAGCAAACTAACGCCAACAATGTCAATGCTCCTACCGATCTTTCTGTCACCATCATGTCGTCATGCGCTGCCTAAATCAGTGGTCTTCATTTGCATAGACGTCGCAGTATTGACCTTTGTACATATCTGCACAATAATAAGTGTCTCCTGCTTTTTCAAACCGATTTTATAACGTATGAGATAATAATCATTTTTGAGACATAGAATTTTACTAGGAGATTAGCGGTAACGAAACGATGCTTGTATCCTATGCGAAATTTCACTTGTTCCATCCTGTACGCCTGAAGTACATTGAAGTCAGTCACATCGTCGTGTGCATATGGATAATTATTTGTGTGTGTAGCGCCTTTCGAACGAGTTTTTTATAGTAGTCATGACAGACACGGTGGGCAAATCTCTATCAATCACAATATAAGGCCTGTCGTTAAATTCACGAACAAATATTAGCTGAAATTTCTCGTCATAGGCATAGAGGGTACGCCACGCTGTTCTCGTCCAGTAACTCGCTCTTGGTCTACGTACTTTTACAGAATGCAATACAAAAATCGTTGCACATCTTGCGCTTCCTTCGGTCAAAAGGCGCTTGGACACCCTATAGGGTTATCATTTCCTCATGGGCGGGCGGCATCGCCCTATTCGTCACACGTATTAGCAATTCGTTTTGATAGCAAGGATACAACATCCCCGCTAAAGATCGGCTTGCAAATAACTTTGTTATAACCGTACTTTTTAGCGATGACAGAGTTTCTTTCGTATGATGTGTACACATGCATGTACATCCTTGGCAATAGATCGAATAATTTAGAACGCGTTAAGTGGATAATCGACTTAGCTAGAATTCGACAACATGGCGCTCAGTATAATTTTCGGAATAGATAGAAGTTTGCTGAGAATGATACGAAGCACATTTTAGAAAGCATGGGATATATTTGGATGAGAGCGTTAAATGAAGAAAATGAAATCTGCACAGGGTTAGACTCGAAAATAGTGTTGGTATAGCCCTCTTACTACTGATTATTACACCCGTACTCTGATTAGCAGTTATGAGAATTGTAACAGTATTTAGTAACACGCCAGCCATCGTGCCCTACTATGTAACCGCAGCTCAATGAAGCAAGGCTATTATTTAAAAATCAAGCAATTATTTCCTCAGGTCCTTCAGGACATATCGTGAACAAGAGATGTTTTTTTTTTGGGGGAAGAGTCTGTGCTCTGTGCTCCCGTCTATACGATTTTGAACCCTGTCTGTTTCAGCTATTCTTTGCCACTTCAGAGTAGAAGAAGCCAGTAAAAGGAGTCGATCCACCTCCGGATCAGCTGAGTACTTGACTTGTATTTCCCTACAAAACGAGTAAATTAATAAACATTACTGCAGATCAATTGGTTGGCTTGTGTTTTGACGCTGGATTCATGACGAGTATTTCAGGTTGCTTACACCGAATCATAGGCAATATTCTTGACCAGAGTGAGTATTATTACACTCCCCTATCATAACCTATTCAAACTTATCCCGAATATATATATCTCCTTATTATATTTTATTATATGTTTTGTGCATATATATTTATATAACCGGCAATAATTTCGCTACCACGGTGTTTAAGTTTCCGAAGTAATCTAAAGGCATTGCAGCAGACTTGGTCCTTCGCGAAATCCTAATAGAGAAAAAGGCGTCCAGGATAGATATTAAATAGCCTGAGTAAGTAAGAATTAAGATTCCGTCCTATTAGAGATGACATTGTTCGTACTGTCCTGTCCTGTCCTGTCCTGTTGAAACCGTTCACATCGAAAAGCTTTAGCTTTTTTTTTTTTTTTAAAAATTGCTTGTCGTCCCGCCGAGTCGATTACCTTCGATAGGTACCGTGACGGAAAACACATTAATCGATAATGTATCGCCTTATTACAGAGAAGCCACACAAAGTATAGCGACTGAATAAAAAAGCAAGTCCTCACACAGAAAGAGGACATACATACATACATAGTCTAGAAATAACATTTCTCTTATACGTACGTTTTATTCATTACCCTTCTATCGTCTGTTCATGATTCGGAAGCGCTATTCCGCTTTGAAACGTTTATCGTAACTTCGCTGCATAGCAAACGGATTTAGTTGATAGTTCTGTTTCAGATTCTTAGTAAGAGTGTCCGCTTTTTCTTTTGGTTTTCGCAGATCGACGCTCTGACGATTGACGGTAACATCAATTAGTCAACGAACTTTATATATAAAACTTAATACGGCTTTCGCCCAGTATCAAATACACTGACTAAACGTATGTCACACTACATAAAATAACTATTACTCGTGAACATACTTTAAAAATTTACTAAAAACTCTATAGTATAAAGTACTTGGATTAGCTTTACGAAAATTTAATAATTTACAAACAAATCCATATGAAATTACTATAGATATGAGCTACAGCGGTCGTATAACACGCTTTACGTCGCGCAAAGCGTCGTATGTAGCGCTCTCCTGTGAGATATTCAACTGTATATGTTACATTGTACAGTGTGTGTAACTAAATAAAAACACTATTCGTTTAATTAGTTGTTATTTAAATGAAAATGACAAACATGATACCTGAGCAATATATTAAGATAAATGCACAGCTTGGCAGAATATCGAAGTAATACTATTAAAAAGTGTGTGAATCAAGGTAAAGCGCTGCCCACCGGAGAACACAGGCAGAACATAGAAGTTTTGTACCTAGAGATAGTTATAACGGCACGGGCACGTCGATACGCCCTTTCAGAACACAGAGTTTATGACTACATAGAGAATGAAAAAAACACGTGAAGCGATGATTTTTTCAAATAAGTTCCGTCACCACAACTTGCGCTGGCGAGGCGAAACGCAGATTCGAAATTTGATAATTATCTGTGTTTTTCTGTTTTACGTTTTCATTCATATATATGACCGAATTCGTTTCGGTAGCTGCTTTCGCATTCGCGTTAAATTTGACTTATTTCTTTCTTTCCTTCTTTGTTTCTTTCAATCTTGGCCTCTTTCGATCGTAAGAGTTATTTCCTATTCCCGTATGTGTGTATGTTGACGTAAATACTATGAGTCTGACGTAGCGTCTTTACCGCTTGTAGCGTGACCTCGCTTCCGTGAAATGAGACCATCATGTTGTACACAACCACGGTTACAGCATCTGCAAAGGAAGCGGCCGATCCGACGGGTCAACAGAGATCCCTGTTTGTTTCGAACGAATCTTTATCACGAACGCACTATTAGACACATCCACTATAGTTATTTTGTGCGTATTCGCAGATGTGCCTGTCCACTATATATATAGTTTGGTCGAATCAACAACATTGGTACAAATTGTGTTGGTGCACCAACACTATGCCATAATCGTTTCTAGCCGGAAAATGTGAGCTGCTTATCTATTTGAGTGCCAACTAATGTGAGTGACAGATACAGTAATTACCGTTGAGTAAACTCTCTCCGAACACAAGGAAGTAGAGCACTTTATTGACACCGACTTCTTGAAAGATTGCCAGGACAGCCACAGGGTCCACAGCCGATATGAGCGACGAGAAAACGAGTGACTCGAGCAGGCCGAGGTCAAGGCCGCCGAGCCAACCAAGCTTATCAAGGACGAACAACGAAGGACCGATAGTGAACACGTTGATCAAGGTCCCCTGCAATTGCAAATCAAAAGTCCATCGATGGCAGTAAATTCAATGAGATATTTCTAAAATACCACTGGCAGATATGAGTTATATTTATTATATATACTTATGAAACCAATGCAGTCCTTGTGACCTGTAGTATGGTCATAGTTAAAGAGGAAGTACAAAAGGTGCCGACTGAAGATGATTGTAAAAAAGACTTATATCAGAAATCTTCTACTGTCCTTCAGTGCAACTTTCCTTATGGTCGAATCTATCCGACCACAGGCCCGATAACAAAGATGACCTACTGATCCAAATGGGACAAAATGCAATAAATCCTTTCTTTTCGTTTTATGCTTTTGCGCATAGACGTAGTCACTTAAAGGAAAAGGCCTCTGGCCAATGTCCTTAAAACGCCGTCGCCAGTCGATAAGTTTCCCCTTGAACAAGTTCTGGCTGTTCTTCTTCCGAGAAGCATGTACGTTTGACAAATAAAATTAGGCACGGTCTTCGAGATTTCATTGTGTAGGCTTCTGAAGGCACAAACTTGATTCGCCCCTTTGCCGTTTACTCGCGTGCCTATAATCAATGAAAATTAGACGTTCCCTCATCAAACTTAGTTTACCGTGTGCATTTGAACATTCCTCGATTATATACCTATGTCTGGTTCAAAATATGCGAGGCAGATCTCATCTGCACAATTGATATATCGACAGAAAATGAAAAAACACCATGTATCCCTAAAATCTGTCACACCTAACTATAATATAACCGTAGCCATTATTCATTGTCTCTTTGCTGTTCTACTTTTTTCTCGTAATAATCAGTCGCTTTGTTAACTATCTGTTACCTGTCAGGTTTAGGTTTCTTTGCATAAACAAGGCGGTTTATGTGGAGACACCTAAACACGCTGCAGGCACAGGAGAAGCGGGCCATCTGCGAAGCAGTTGCTTCCACCGCCGAAATTTCATCTGTATTGCATCGCTTTGGTGAGATGACTAAAAAGGCCTAGCCAGAGGTTAGTGTGTTTATAAAGCATGGGAAAGAGAACTCAGATTCCACTCGATGCTGGAGGTTTGAGAATTCATATCGGGTATGTTATCTATGCACAGCCATAGACAGTGGTCTTTTCGGTATCAAATTGCGACCTCGACCATGCACCCATACAGCATATCTGGTTAACGATTTCGTTGCATTCCATACGATAGGACGGAGGAATATATACGGCTACAATGTTAGTTTTCGTGCAACGTTTTTGTGAGAAAGGTAAACTAGGTCTAAAAACATAAGCGATCACTTTTTACCAAAAAAAAAAAAAAAAAACTATTTTCATTTTTGCTATACGAATATGCCCATTTAATTATTTGTGTTTATGATACAAGCTATGTCGTTTATGCGAAGTATTATTATTGAAGAAGATCAACGCAAATTAATACGCTTGCTGAGTATAGGGTGGAATTGTTATGGCCTTCATTTAACCAACGTTGGGCGGAGGCCTTCCAAGAACCACTGGAACAAATTGTGCATCCCTGAACACGTGTCCTATATGTTTGCCATCAAAAGTTCCTTTCGATGTTATCTGTTAAGCGAAACGATCATAAATAATCAAGATCTCACGAAGTCCACAAGTGTAAAGCTTACGATATCGCAGCTATATACGCTCATCATTGTAGAGTGCAGAGGTCATCGACAGCACTCAAACGCAAGAACCCACAGTCTTCTCAAGAATCCGCCTAGATATTTTCAACGAAGTAATTTTAATCAAAATCAAAAAATGTGTTTGCCTTTTTTCCGTAAATAAGCTTCGGTTACAGATTTATCTGTTTAATGGATCGGACGCCTCTCCTGCGTCGATTTATTTGGCATTACTATACATATATGTGCATTTTCGAGCTTGAATAGAGGACAATGGGTACGAGCAGAGGAATGAGGCTACTGCAAATATAAATTGCATAGGGAAGAAAAAATTGTATGTAGAAGTTTCGGTATAAAAATACGTATCCATAAAGGTACTGACAATATAAAACTATCGAGTAATATATTGCAAGCGACGATACGCACAGAAACATAGCGATTGGGCGCCTTTTGAAGACTTGCCACGCGTCTGGGTTTTCGCCCAAATGCGAACCCACACATATGCTTGACTGATGTGGCTTTATAAACAGAGGATGGCTGCTACCTCTATACATTGCTAGGACTGGATAACCCAATTCTTCAGTTCCCGCTAATGGGAATGGCAAAAGGATACGTTTGTTTAGCGATAAAAGTTCGCTACGGAGTTTTATTGCATACTTTCACATATGCCATCATAATGCACGATTCGTTTTGTAACTTCGATCATCGTTCAGTTTTTTACTTGAATTGGTTCATGTTTTTCAAACACCTAAAGTTAGACGTCCCTTTTAGCCTGCTAAGTTGCAGTCGTCGTATTATCAGCTTTATACAGCTTTATACAAATCTAAACCTAAGTAGATTGTAAGGTTAAAGAATATCAGCTTTCGCTACCATTTATCGAAGAGAACATAATCTGTCTTTCCTTCATCAATATACTGCGCGCAGTAAAGCGGTTTCCGTTGATCTGTTTGGCGGCAGAGCTTGAAAGCCTTCGAGGGGCCAAGGATATGATACCTTTTCGACAACAAACGAGCGTCTAATTAATTGAAACAAGTTAGAGGCTACACACAAAATCGACCCTCTCTCTACTGCCGCTTATATATACGAGGTAAGACTTTTCTAAAATAGAACGGGCGACCCAACCATATCATTAAGTAAACCTGAAATCGCCCTAGGTAAGGCGCGCTACAAATAATATATTTTGTGAATAAACCAGAACAAATTTGAAATCTTTACGTGTACGTAAAAAATCTAATCGCCATCTATAAAAGATACCGTTAACGTCTAAAAGAAGACTGTGGTTTTCCAAATAGCTTTGTGCCGAGCTTATAGTGTACCAAGCAACTGTTAATGCAATGTGCCAGCCAATACTGCAAGAAGATGAAAGCTTTCTCTCTAGAAAATATTAACTTAATTTATTATCTTCCTTAAACATTTGTAAGGCCGTATAGCGCGTAGCGACGTGTAGATTGTAGCCAATTGGCTTTAGGTGGCAACCTAGATCCTCGGCGAAGATTACCTTGGCTATCGCGACCGGCGTGGTTCAACGAACTATGTTCGGGACAAGTGTCTGAAGTGCTCGTGCAAACCGTATTCAGTTAAGGGAAATGTTGAAAAAGAGGAACCCTAAACAGGGAGGCCTAATTATTCGATGTTTTTTAAAAGCAGTAATATGACGTTCATACCTAAGGATGTTGTTCTCAACGATTGCTACAAAAGTATATTTTTAAGCGTCACATAGATCGGGTGACATTCAGAACCTCGAAGCCTGATCCGGTGCTGGAGACAATCAGCATTTCCTTACAAATACTTTAGATCTCAGAAGTCTTAGATCTACATATGTAATTAAACAAAACTGGGAACGTGCATTTGTAAGACACACGTTTCGGTAACAAGGTAACTTTGATAAATCTGTCCAGCGTTCGTCAGCAATCATAACTGAGGTATCTGTTATAATCCCCTTCATCTCATGACTTTTCCTCTGACACACGCAATGCCATGGTTGAAGGGGGTGTCGAAGTTGGCAACCTTTGTTAAGGTCGTATTTAGGATCCGGCTGCAAAAGCCCCAAATGGTCCGAACCTATCCTTAGTCAGAAGCAATATATCGGCTGTTTAAATACTTCGATTCTTCTCGGGCACCTTTTCGACGTTTTACTGTGATACTGGTATTCTACGATATCATCAGCTTCCTGATCGCATCGGTCCTACTGTGTTAAAAATGCTACAATATATGTGTGCATTAGCCTCGTCCTTAAGCCACGTTCGGTATTGAACTTGTTACTGGCTAACGTTTTACAAGGTATTCTTAACGTAAATTTTCCAACCAAAGTAACACTGGTTTTGTAGATTTGCCCTCTACAATTTGTTTGAATACTTAGTGCTGGCCTAACATTTCGAAAATTTTTACTCTGCCAACTAGGCATCCCTTGTAGATAGGTCGTAGTACGTACAATGAGACTGCAGAATTCGCGACAGCGGCATCTTGTTAAGTGGAATTCAGAATTCCGTAAAGGAAAACAGAAAAGGCATTCTACAAGTCGGAAAGGTGTTAGCTAAAATGTTATCTAATACACCCTTGTGTCGTCGGGGCCGTGAACTAACCGCTAGAGCGACGTCTACTAAGTTGGGCTTTCAAGATCTTTTAGCACGCTGTCGTTAGAATAGTTTAATCCTACGATGATGATATGGTACGACGACTGAGCCAGCTCAATGAATGTAAAAAAATAAACAGTTCAAAAATGATACGTTGTGCCTATTTTCGCTTAATAAGTTGGCCTTACGGGACTGACGACCTTCTAGACAACTTTGAAGTGTTTCTATTCCTAAACGAGCGATGTTGGCCTGCGTCAAAATAAAGCTTTTTGTTACACCGAACAGACTTCCTTTGAATATGTGCGCCAGGACGAATTGATGCAGAGCTCATAACATTAATGAGCTTCGCTTACACTAAATGCATAATGATGCACTAAAGGGCTGCCTTTAGCGAAATGATGTAGGAAAAACTTTTTCGTTGTTGGCCTGGAAAAAAAAAACACTCTGCGTAAAGTTCACGTTTAGGCTGCGTGAAGTTATTTGTTCACCTGAAAAACTACGCATGAATGTACTGTTGAAAACTTGTTTGATTCTGTGGAACTTGGGTTAAGACCCAGGTTCTTGAAAAAAAAAAGTTAATCGATACGCTAGCGTCGTCAACAACGCTAACCTCAAGAAGATATATTTGCACTCCGAAATCATGTAAGACCCTTGATTAATTAAGCGTTAATTAAGATCACAACAGTGAGGCACACAACATATGATTAAACTATTCAGATAGAACATTGAAAGCTTTTCCGACTCATACGCTCCAATCAACATTCAGCCTATAAATCTGTTAGAATTTTCCAGTATCCACTGAATGTGCCACTGGAGTTCTTAAAAGTCCCAATTCTCTGATGTCTTCCAACGTCACAGACACTTTTTCCCACTAAAAGGCGAAAATTATACTTTTAAAGTCAACTGTAATTTTGTTCACTATGATCTTGTCTGTTGTACGATTTGGATTAAGTTGAGCCATTGAAATGTTTCCGAAATGACGGTGACAAGAGCTAAAGCAATGGTAATCAAAACTCGACCGCTTGAACTAAGTTAGAACCATTCATTAAAACTCTACAGCGTAATCTTTTGGTGGAAAAAAAACAGTTACCGACTACATTCTTATTGGATCTCATCATTTCGCTGTACAAATCTATGGTTTCGCTTCCAGGGCGTTTTCAGCTGGTCTTTCTCCTCGAAATTTACATAAAGAAGACCTCCATTTTCGACTAAAATTGTAATCGATCAAAGTTACTGTATGTCATTTCTAAGTTAAGTATTTCCACGCATGCCTTGCTATTATTGGGTTTAACTACGGTATACTATGACCCACGTCATTACGAAAAATATTTTTTTTGCGAATAGAATTTGAAAACAGAACGTACCGTTTTACTCTGAAGGCCTTTGATCGATAAATAAGAGTATGAAAAATACCTCTGATTTTCTAACGAGTCGAAAACAGGCGCCGAAAAATATTTGCCGTCAGCATAGCTTGCGAGGCAGAGAATTGTCAGGGCTTTACCAGATAAAAGGCAAAGAAATTTAGAACATAGTCGAGTTCACGTTCGGATGCGTGGTTACGTTTGCTTCAGGCCGATTACAACCTCGAGCTCCCTGTTTTGGTTCATACTAGAGTTTGAAATTGGCTTCATTCTTCCTCTTCTTCTTCTTCTTCTTCTTCTTCTTCTTCCAAGAATGCCAAGCGGCTACTTTCAAGGTTGACCTAGTCGAAAAACCCTTTAGTCGCCGCAAGCGAAATATCTTTATGAACACGCCGCAGGACGCATCTGGGCACACGTACTATGTGTGACAGCTGACACGTACTATGTGTGACAGCTGACACGTACTATGTGTGACAGATTATCGATCACCTCAGATGTCTACATATGTACATATGACTGGAGTAATTTTGTTCCGCTCATTATTATCATCCTTATTTTATGCAAGTTGCGTAGAAACAAAATGTAAGGCACGGCTAATTTTAGCACACTCGTATGTCAGACATTGCGACTTAAGTTAAGTGAATGTATTTTATTAGAGAAAATAGATAGGCGGACATAACCAAAGTGTCAGATTTTGTTAGCACTGTAGTAGCAGGATTGCTATTCTTCTTTTCATCAAGTTTCGCTGGGGCAGACGAAAGATAACGTACTGCACTGCGTATGGCCCCAGATAAACTATTATCATAGCATGCCGCAAGACGTGTCTACAGCGCTTCCGAGTGCGTCTGCAATGATCGACTCTCATCCGCCACGACCGCACAATAATTACATATATATACATATATATATAGATATATATATATATGTATATATATATATATATACATATATATATATACATATATATATATATATATATAATGGCGACGCAACGGGAAGTCGACACATTCTTCGGTTAACCTCGATCATTAGATTTTCATCATTTTTTTTAATTATTAAATAAGAGCTTCTCTCTCACTTCCACGACCCCAGTTTTGAAGTAATGTTCGTTTAATTTCCACATACGATATTACGCTCCACAGAGTCAACAAGCCACTGGTTAATATATAAGTAGTTTTGGGCCCGTAAACTTTAATTTCCGCGCAGCTGATGTCTGCTAGAAATAGCTAGCTCGTTCGAGTGAGCTTGTATTAGCTTTTGTACAAGGAGCCAAGCAAACTTTGATCTCAAACAGCTGCCAACATGTACCGTAGTAGGGATAATGTTTTATTATCTAATAACGTCAACAACGACATCATCAAAGCAAACATGTGCAGGAAGCTTTACGGATTACGCATGCAAAGTATTTCTGTTAGTCGGTGTGTAAGTAAAAATCAGTGAAGATACAGGACGAATATTTACTGTTACGGTTTCGGGAAGCTTCTCCCGAGTTGTTGACCTGTTTACTCTCACGGCTATTTTTATATTATTCCTCCTTGGAATCAACAACTATAACAAACACTCACAACGACAAGCATCCTCAAGAGGCTTATTAGGCTTAGGGTTAGTCCTACATCACTCACCATAACGGCGTAAAGAAGAATCGTTCCGATGTTTGAGAAAAATGAGTTGTCGTATAGCGAGTACGAAGACTCGAGTACAATGCTGAAAATAATGCAAAAACCGGCATTAACTTAACGTACCGGCTGCAGCCATGTATTCTACGTGAACACATATCCTAGGGTTATCCGCTAGCGTGACGACCTACACTTGGAGATGCACGACTGCCAAATCGCTCTAATTAGGGAAAGATTAGGAGCAGTAGAGAAATTTGTTAGCTGATTTGAATGGGGCAGTAGAGCGATTTGAGGTATTTATGCGAGCTACAATCTTCTTTTGGTAATCCAACAAATGTTTTTATTAAGCGGGATCTCATAGCTAAACAGGCCATTCAATTCAGGCGATCTTTCCAAAGGCCTTTTCATCCCACCTCGCAGGGAACAACCCGAACCTAATTAAGGTCCTATCGCTTTCATAAATTCTTGGCTGACGGTTAAACTGTAGTGTCTCAGTTGTTTTCTGCCGATTCGCATACCTACAGTGATTACAGCAGATGAAGTCCCACTCTGATTCGTGCGTTCCATGAAAATTTAGTCCGCGCTCTGGTCTGATGTCTCCCAAAACACCAGTCATCTATCATGCGTGCGTTTGTTTAGACGCAATAGAAATCTGATTTGAGCGGCAATCTCGGTATATATTTTTACGGATGGTGATCTCCGATGATTAGAGAAGACAGGACACCACGCAAAGACCTGAACAATCATGTCTTCCTTCCTAAGAAAAAGCCAATTCATGAAACTGTGTACACTCTCGTTTTTTACTGGAGGTGTCAATCTATCGGCGCAATTTTTAATGAACGTCCTATCATAATAAAAATGAGCGGCCTATAATAACAATATCTTTCCGAATACGTAACTGGCTTTGGCTGAGTACACGTACCGAATTAGTAAATCCGAATGCGAATTAGCAAAATAAACGTAAAAGGAATTTTAACTAAAACTGGGGGATAGACACAATGTGAAAACGGTGAGGACATGGTCGGTGGATCTTTTTTTACATGTAAAATAAAGGCAATGTTGTAACAATGAGACGAACACATAATCGCATTAGCATATATCTTAGTAAGCTACCCGCTTAGGTAAAAACATGTTCAACGAGCGCTCCTACACTCTGCTTGGCGGCACCATATCGGTAAAAAAGGGTTGTGTAAGCTTGGACCCTACCACATAGTACTGCTAAATGCTTGCCCTCGATTCGTGATTGAGTTCTAATCCCGCCTATTCGGTCCCATTGAAGGTGACAGGGCATTATAAACAAAGGCCCGCATATACAAGCCGGCCATGCAGCCACTCACGTTGTCCTTCGATACCCACGTGAAACGTGTTCAGCCATTTACAACCTCGGGTCATTTATTCATGGAACTTTCTGTTGCAAAGGTTGAACACCAAATTCTGTGGAGGCGTGCAACAATATTTATTTCTTCTTATTTTTTATAGTGACGTATGGCACATGTGCACTGAAGAGCCACAAATGCTCTGCGTTATGATGAAAGTGAGCGTGAGATCAACGTAACGCAAGGCTCAGTCGGAAAAGAGGCTAGGTTATGCTGCCAATGATACTGAGGACCCAAGTTCCAAAAACAACGGCAAGAAATTTCGTATTCATCCAATTTAGTATGAAACAATCGAATATACTCCATACACAAAGTTAGGTAAAACAGAAGGTGTGGAAAAAACCTGCAGTCAAAACGGCAAAGAATGAGCCTATCCGAGAGGGAATGTTACATAGCTAGCTTATTAAAATTGATTTCATCTAGCCACGGCACACAATTATTAGAAAGCAGCGATTTAAAGACTCAATTACTATTGTTTAACGTTAATTTAAACAGCGATCGGCCCGGCCATTAAACCGTCTACCAAGAAGCATTCTCTGTTAGCTTCAGCGTATCGCACAAAGACATCAGTCCTCCACAGTTCTGCAATAGTAAAACAAGTTTAACGGGATATCACGGTCACGTTGGAGTCTTCTGTTAATTTTATACTATCGTCACTACTGCACTCGACTGTGACATGTCTGCTAAAAATATAATGCAACAATTACGTATTTGATTCAAGTCCACGGATTTTATTAGGCAACGTTGCCATCAAAGGGGCGAGTAATGCCTTCATTTACAGACACACATCAGAACGCAGCTGCTTAATTTCATAAGGCCCCTCCAATTAAAACAGGGCCAAAATTACCGGGACTACTTGCGCCCTGCTGCTACACTCAACCAGCTGTGCACGAGTAGTTCATGAAGCTCCCTATCAGGCATCTTACACATATGATTTCTACGTTGCTGGCGAACAATCTGAGCATACAGTCCCGTCGCAGACAATTCGTGCTTTTCTGAAAGGAAGAAATGCGGATTGTTTTACCTACGATATACAATACTATCTTATGCTGCTTAATATTTGTATTGGCATCCAACCTAGATCTGACTAGTGGCCTTTGAGGAGGGCTCTCGTAAAGCCCAGTACTGTGGGGAATGAAAATGTGTCTGGACGGAACGGATTAGGTGCCTCACTTGGCTTTGAATTCAGACAACTAAAACACCATGAGGTCGGCTCACCTCGTTTCCAGCACTCTATTGCAGTTTTTTGACAAAAATAAGCGAAGTATACAGGGAGAGTTTGTAAACAATCGGCAGGTGCCGTTGTTTCGAAGGCAACGAACGCGCCAATGTCTAACATAAAATCTGCAAAATCGTTACGTCACCAGAGAAATTCAACGCGTTTGCCTTTTCTAGTTGCTGGAACGGCAACGTGTGCCAAAGCCTACATGCCGACATTCGTATGAACATGTTTAGTCGTAACGTCTATGGTGTGTATTTTTTGCTTCCGTACGATATAAGTTAAGCAGCGATTGGCAACAATTCGAGTAAGTGATAGGATCGCAGCTAGCCATGTACGAGGAAACAGGACGTCGACCGATGGAGACTATCAAAACTAAATAAAAGGAAACACTTTGAGCCATCGAATTTTAACGAACGACTTCTATTTGAAAATGTTGTGAATGTTTTTGACAAAAGGCGAAGACCCAGACGGTCGAACGATAGCGTGAAGCGACGGAGAGGTTGGCATAACGAAGCTTTCCACTGTATCTATGCGCCCCAGCTCCTATAGCCGTTAAAGGTAGAAGGTATATTCGATTTCTGCATGTCCATACGCATTTAGACTTTGCATCGACAACTTTTTCTGCCCATACGGAAAAGTAATTAAGCAGTCTAATTTGTTCGACGCGGTGCGGTTTGTAATGGGGACACGGGGGCTTACTCAGAAGGGGTTTAGTGGTTTCAAGACAAAGCGGCAGTGTTGGATGTGAGGTGCTTTGAAGCTTCTGGTATTTATACGATTTGGAACCCGTCTATCTGGTTTTATATCTTAAACTAGTTTAGCTATGAGATGGATACGTCCTTGTACATTCAGAGAACACGCCGCATCTTGAATGTAGTTAAACATGCGAAACTGCATTGAGTCAATTCTGTTGCAGTCCTCCGTGCGGCAATGCATCAATAATATCATCCGAGACTAATTACACCCCTTTTTTTTGGGGGGGGGGGGGGTAAACGCGTTTGCCCTTGATAAACCATAGGGTGTTTTATGTACGATTCAGACCCTGTTGGACCCTGTGTCGAAGCGTATTGCAACAAACTTCTCTGATCGAACTTAGCGTCCATCTGAACGTCCATACCGGGAGGTTTAGACGGAACCTACTATGCTGTCAAAAAGTAGCGGTTGATTGGAAATAACTTCAATATTGCCTTCCAGAGTCGTCTAGAAGAGCACGTAACTTGCGGAAGTGTTGTACTCTGTTAATTCAAATCGGTTAGGTGGTCCAATCTAGTTGTCAATTTGGAGTAATCAAGAGTATTGCACCCAGGCTATCCGACAAAGCGTTAAGTTCGGTAAGCATATTCCAACTGAATACGAGTTTCTCAATTTTAGCTGTAATAGAAGATTGAAGCTACGGACCGATAGCTTCTAGAAACGCTTTACGATAGCACTGCCCATGACAGCGTTAGAGAGAAGTAAATAAGTAAAAAAAAAAATAAATAAGAGTAAAAAATTTAAAAAAATAAGAAGTGAAAAACAGTAAGTAAAAATAACATAAATCGTAATATCCGTGCGATCTCTTCTGTATTGTAGTTGCCGACTTATTATTATTATTATTTGAATTGTTTCAGATAGCCAATTTCAATCGAACAGAATAAGATACAGAACTTTACAAAGCACCTTCTTGCAAGACAAAGCAGGACAAATGGTTCGTAGTATAAACAGATACAGAAAGCGATTGAGTCTAGAATTTACGAAAGAACCGTGACTGACCCATTTGAGAATGCATTCTTGCCAAATTATGTTAGGATCTATGTCACTCAGATACACTGACATTAAAACGGTTGTTCTAAATATGTCCTAAACAAGCGGCGTTAAAGACACGTACGAAGTTTTCGAGTTTGAGTTAAAGGATAATGTAAATGGAATAGGATAATGCGATTAGTCCAGTGTAACTTTGCCATTGAAGTTAATTGCAGTACTGCTGAAAGGTTTCAATTTTGTGCAACTACCTAACCTAAGTACCATAAACATTGCAACGCACATTAACACATTATAAGTGTATCGTTGTTGCTACAGTCGCCGACCCTAGTCCAGTTTTCTGTGAACTACAATAAACTGAATGAGCTCAGCTGAAATTGCCATGTTTTCTTATTTCAACATCGCATTTGCCATCACTTTGGCCGAGGTAAACCTTTACGTAACTTTCTATCACGTGCGAGTCTCCTTTAAACCTTTCTTACTTACATTCACACACTCAAGTCTATTTGCCTTATTGATCCTCTGTCAAGGCGTATCCGCAAAAACCTCATAATTTAAGCCTCACTCCTGTCAATTTCATACTAAGAAAACCATCACATCGCTGTCCAAAGCATCACTATTAACTGTAGCCGTACTTTAAGGACACGCGCCATCAAACTGTACGAGGCCTATGTGCGGCCAATTAACAAATTCAATTTCGTTCATTTTAAGCCTGTCTGAGCTAGTTATGCGTCACGTGTTCGGATATCATTGGCTGTTACTAGACAATCGGAGAACAAACTTCAGAATCATACTGGATACAGAATAATATTGAGCCTTCCTACAGCAGGACCAGCCTATGGTTCTGTGGTTATTAGGATGGGGTTGATTGCGTGAAAAGTGCTCGCGGCAAGAGGAACAAAGGTCTAACTAAATAAGGAAGTAATCGTACCAGACTGCAAAAATTTGAAATACTTTACCACGATGGATGGTTTGCGTTGGGTTCAGTTATTTGCGTGCTAGACAGAATAAGAGTACGCTGCTGCAGTGGAAATCTTGTGGAACGGAAGAACACCGTACCAACCGTACGAACGGTCGCATTTGAATTTTGTTTGTGGCTTTTCTGGCCTTTGTGGCTTTTGTGGCTAAGCTGTACATGCCTTCACTGATTTACTGGTCCGCGATCTGTCTGTGTCATTTCGTCAGTTATAATGTTTAGATACACAAATATATAGTTAAGCACGAGGATTCAATTTAGTTTTTTCTGTCTTCTACTACAACCTAATGAGCTAGGGAGTAAGTGTGACGGAGTTGTCACGCCTGTGATCCCGCTACGTGCATCATCTAACGTTAACCAGGCGTATAGTGGGCATAACATGTCTGGTACGTGAAATGCGTTCTTTTTTAAAAGTGGGTAAGCTTGCTTATGCAAGACACCAACAGCAGATTGCCTTGTTAGTAAGTAAAGAGCTCATCAGAGACGTACGTGACTGGATAGATCCGTTTCTTTTGATCGCTTTGTATTCTACAACGACAGGTTAACAATCCAAGTCGTCCTTGTGAGCCTATACCCAACCGGCATGTAACTTTTTTGACCTAAGTTCATACGTCTTTTGCCAATGTCTGCTGCAAGTAAGGGAACTAATGTATATCCCTTCCCTTTATAGAATAATCTCTAAATAAGTATACTTTCTTGACTCTATTTTCATGCTATGGCTTTAAAAATACATAGATTGCTTTTCACATGTGTACATGTTCGTTGTGATCAGCTGCATCCGGCTAAACGTTTTGAGTTATCGGTTACGCAGTTCGTTCAGGGCTTGTACAGCCTCAACCGCTGAGCAGAAATGTGAAAGGATCTTCTGTAGAAAAGATTTAGTCCAATGAAATATACCATTACGATAGATGGGTATGACAGATTGATATACCAAGGAGGTAATAAGGTTTTTTACATGCACCATATACAGGACGTCTATGTTAAAATTTACGGCATTTAAAGGAAGTAAGATATTTACATTAAAAGTAAAATGTCCGATGAACTTACGGTGGTAGCAGGTACAAAAAGAACGTGTCTGGTGAAAATGCCGGGAGCGTGTCATTATTGCTGATGCTGAAATTACATGCCACGGCAAGAAACATCATGAGAGTCGCTTCATCATCACTACTTGTTTCAGACCGCACAGTTTTTATCAAAAAACATTTTCTCCGCTTCGACATCGCGGTGCATTGTAGGAGTCGCCGCAGAGATATAATATAATTCAGTACTCAGTTCTTTAACAAACGGCATAGAAAAGGAACCGGTAGCGTCCTAAGAGGTGTTCGACAAATGGCAATTTGGTAGATGAATTTATTATATTATGCTATCAGTGTGGGAGAGCTAATGCTCTGATCTATAATACCGATCATACATTTTTTGACATCGGATAGCTTAAAAAAAAACTAAGAAATTGTTATAACGTCTGATACTTACTGAGCGATACCACCAACCAGTGTTCCCAACACGATGAGCATGCTGGAACAACAACAATGAGACAAATCGATGTAAAGTAAAATACAGACGGAATTGTTGACGTTCTCATTAATACATCAGTGACTAGAGGCATAGCAAATTGTCTTCAGAAGCTGACTGAGAGCGCAAATGGAACACATACCATGATTCAGGAATGATTGAAGACAGGAAGTTTGCGTGATGGAATACTGAAGATACAAGACATCGACACAGAATTCATAGAGAGTTCACGGTTAGAATAGTCATTGTCGCCCTAGCCATGGATAATCTGATCGATAACAAAAATATACAGATCCGTTATAGCGCAACAGAGAGGAGTTGGAACACTTACAAGATGAATACCGCACTTCCTTATTAGAAGTTTTTGATATGCTTATAACGGTATAGATCGTGATCTTGTGTGATCGTAGTCGTCTATCTGCGTATTGCTAAAATAAACCTATTCAGGCCCGCGGAACTGTGTGGTACTAATTAGCTAATTGTCAATCCTGTATTGTCTAACCATATCGGTTGGTAAATTTCAACTATTAATGCCATTTGCTATAGATTTCATAACCAATTGCGATTTTGGTTGAAAAACATTTACAGATTAACACATACACTGCGGATAATAAATATGTCTACGTTTCAACGACCACATGAATTGTACCTTTCAAGTGGTGACGCTGCGAATACTGTATCATATAATAAACACACTCATCGCGGAACTCGAGTGGTGATACGAACCGCTAGAAAGTGTACGTAAATTAAGCATGCACCTTGGATGCATTGCACGCACCCCGTGCGGATTATAGACAGGGTTTGTTTAAGAAAGCACGCAGACAAACTCTGCGTGCTTTCGTAGACAGCATTTGGTTAGTCCTGGAAGTGTCCATTGGCTTATTGATACGTTTTATAGTGTATTTAAATCTAAGAAAGCTGCCATCCATATAATTATTGATATCCTTTACAATTTACCACGCATTTAGTGAAGCGTGTATTACGTCCCCTGACTCACGACATTTCGGCCGAGATTTCTCTGACCGAAAGTGTTTAAATATTAATCCCGTCTTTATTTGCAATTATTATTATTATTTGCAATAATGCAATTGCCTTTATGCATAGGGGCTTACTGAAGCAAGTAACACTGACCGCGAAACAGGCACGACCAAGATATTACATCAGAAACGCGCACAAATTTAAACGGAACACCTTGCCACGGCGACCGCCTAAAGAAAGATTGTATGCATTGTTTTGAACATTTGCCACTAGATTTTGGAGGCATGTGTGTGTTATGTAATTGTTTGTCCATCTGTTTCAACGGCAGGACGCCAGTACAAGTATGGTGAGGGTATAAGGGAACGGATGTTCCTCTTCGCCATACAAAACATGCTTGAAGGAAGGAATACGCGATTACCTTTATTATTATTCCAACTGAAAAAACTGATACTTTATATTTTTTACGATGGGAGCGCGTAAGGAAGGACGGAAGATTTCTTACGGATGACAAAAACAATCTACAAAATAGAATGCGTTATTGCCCTGTAGTTGATCCCTAACACAGTAATCTATTTTAGGAAATTTCGCCTAACCGACCATTCGCAGAGTTCTTCTGCGATCGTTTACTTCAATACTTATTCAGGTGCGTCATCTTATTACCGTCAAGAGCAGTTTCGATTTATGTCAAGTATTTATATACAAACTAAATACCTTTTCTTCAATTTAGAAATGTTGCAACGTCGACAATAAGCGTCGAGGGGAAGAAGATGCCTGTCACGTAAACCGATGGGACTAAATCTTAAGTTTCCCCTTGCTGGAAGACCAACTCCTAGGTTATATTATCAAAATGATTTTTTCGGCAGTAAATCACAGTGAAGCCCACTGCGTATTTCAGTTGCATCTGCTGTCATAGTCTCAAATGGTAAATGCAGAGAGTACTGCGAAAAAACAGGATATTTTGCGGCCAAAGTGACTGGATTTGCGAGTGAGCCAGAATGACTTAGATTCGCCAGAATGTGGAACACTGCGTGCATGTGAGATATATTTCCGACAGGTTACCCCAAGAACATCGATCATTAGATAGTAGTAGTAATAATATTCTAATTGAAATACAACGATAGACCATCGGTGTTCATGGTTGTTCCGACGCGGAGGGTTTTACTTCAAATTACTTTACTTTTAAGTTTACTGCAGACTCAACGCAAAACGTCCGTAGTCCTGGACGCTGGTGCTTCTAAAATATCGAGCTATAACAAATGAACAAGATAACAAGGTTTTCCCGCAATTTGTTTACTTGTGTTGCGTTGGCTTGGTGCTGTATCATCGCGATCTATCTAGGCTAGGATATCGCTCTAAATTAATCTTTCGTCTCTGCGATAAAAACGTGGGAATGGGGTCGGCTAAGCTCTGTCTATCACCCCTAATTTTCTAGATACAGTAGAACACACGTAGATTACAAATATCAAGCACATTCGCAAGTGTGACGAATTATGTCAAAAACCAGATGCAATGCAAATACGCGGAGTGTTTTTTTCAAAAATGTTATTTTTGAATGAGAGAGGACCGCGTCCAAACGAACTCCGGCTTCAGAGTATCGTGCAGCTGCCAGCTAGTGTCCCTCAGAGTGTAACCTAGAAAATTACACTTGCTTGCCTCGAAGAGGCTGAAACCTCATTTTTATCAGAGGCACCCCCGAATAGGGTTGGTGTTTGGAGAGCAAATGTTTAGCAGTTTGGTAGGAATATTTCGACCCGTTCAGTCGAATAGAAGGACAAAACATGCATCTAAATACTACCTTTTGGGGAGCTGAATTCAGATCTTATCTTACTATTTCGCACTACTCAGTCAACTGCATTATTTCTAGCTGTGAAGTATCACACCAGTAGGTCGAGCCTTGCCCGACGACATTCTACCCCGATCCACCATGTCACACTTCACTCAAATTATCAATACGTTCGGTTTTAGCAGTTAAGGCAGAAGATTTTAATTTAGCAATGAATCGATACGGCCGTATTCCTTTACAATTCGAAGCTCTCTGTCATAGCCCTAGTTGGAAACTAACTAATTTTTGTCCTCCCGTAGTTCAACTGAAATATTCAAGACTCTAATGTAACATAGAAACAAAACAGACCAAAACAGTGGTGGCCATCTTCTATTTAGTAGCTTAGTCTGTATCGCGTGTAGTACAAGAAAATTTATCTACTATTCATCAACATCCGTGGCTGTCCGATTGCTCCGAGCTGCGCAAGACGTCCTCATTCAACAAAAGCCCGTGTGCTTGTATATCTCTGCATCTGCGCAGGTATGTAGGCGCCAAGTGTGCCATGTACCATCGCCCGAATAAACAGTCGCCACTAGGCAATACCATATGAAATATGTAGAGAAGCGTCGCTGACAAGACATCCCGAATCGAACCATCACTGAATAGTCAACTACACTCAAAGGCGGGACTTGACGCCACGTGGCCACCAAATACGTCACGCTAGCCAAACGCATCTTCTCCATCCTTCGTACGGCTATTGAAATAGTACCTAATGCTTGATATCTTTTAATTAATATGTTGAGCTGGTAGTACTCGACTCGCATCGTTTAACAATCGCACAACAGTTCTTGTCAATAATATCTGACAATTCTTGTTCTACGGTCTGCGCTTGGCTGTAGCACTAGTTGTCACAGCTCCGAGAGCCTTATTGATACCCGATTGACTGTGCCGGTCCGGTAAGTGCGAAAATGAGTGGAGGCAAAGAGCGAAGCTTATAATGAGGCCTTCCTCATTACCGTTCTATTTCGGGCAACGCCTGCGTCAAACGCGTCGCCATTCATATTCTTCACGCTTCAATGTTTCGCTGTTTGCCCCCGCCCGCTCATATTAATGCACCGCTTGACATTCTCCAATTCGTGATGTTAACAAATAACGGCTGGATGCAGTGAGATAAAAATGAAAAAAAAAAAACTGATGATGCCATTAACGTGACGACTGTCGTTAGGACACTGTTATATACTGCTTCGTAGACTGTAGCATTATCTATCCATATCATCACCAGTATCTATCTATATCTATATATATATTCCGAGTTTCGGTATCGGGCACAGTCAGTCAGAAGGACGTACAGTATCGCATGTCTGCCAGCAAATAGTGTTTCTGTGGCCACTCTTAGAATTTCATGTTATAGGTAAACATATTTGATCAGTTCAGATCATTCGTGGGAGACCGCTGTCAAGCCGGCCGCTCACCAGAACCAATATTATAAGCTGGTGTTATATGCTTTCCATATTTGTGCCCTCTTACTAGCGAGAGTTAATAGATAGACGGGAAAGCATACGATGCTATGCATCGAACCACTACGATGTCGGCATGGTCGTCAATAGGGAAATACTCACTATATTGGAAAGCAAGATACCATACGGTCGGCGATCAACACTCCTCTACCTACCAATGCGAAGTTCTACACTAAATAATGTTATATATAAATAGTGTCAATTGACGTTATACCGTGTTATTATGTTAGTCATACCCAGATTTCTAATAGGCCAACTCGACTTCTTAGTTTTCCCAGTCTGAATAAAAAGGGTCAAAATTTTATAATCTACATATACTCGCTGTGGGTGCTTATCACTAGGCCGCAATTCATTACATGAATGTCACATTTCAAACAAGAACTAGTTTAGCACAGCTCGACAAGTCCTGCCTATCTCTACCTCGTCTACTGCCCATTTCACATACCACAAAGCCTCTGTATTCTAAGACCAATGAAAGCTTCGGCAGCAGGCACAGATACGGCTGTCTATGCTTAAACTATCTCATCAAAGTGTTAATTGAAGTAGCGTCAAGCCACTTCGCGAACGCTCACTGTTATAAGAGCTTCCCTAATCTCACGCGTATTTCAAATGCGCATCAGGCCAATTCCGCGACAGGGCTAGCCCGATCGCTGCGCCTGATTTCCGACGATTTCTAGTCCTAGTTTTCTGGGTGGATCTGGTGACTGTTAACGAAATATATCTACCAAACAACACAAATACTATTAAACAGTCAATCAGAACGCGACATCGCCCCATAGGTGCTAAGATCTTTGTATGTGTACGCACAAACGTACCACGATCGCCCAGATCCTGGCGCCTTCCGCAGCAAGTGCATAATGCATATCTGCCACATTTCATCCATAAATTTAAGGACCTTGTGGTTTGGCAGGCCGTACTGAGCGCTCGGACT